TTCCTTGCTTGGGTAATGACATGCACCAACCATCATGTATACTCGGCTCGGGTCTTTTGGTGCTTGGCATGCGGAAGACAACTTTCGTTCGACACAGAACATAGTGGACATATTTGTACTTCATTTGGTGAATTCAATTCAGTTTGAACCATTGCAAATCCTACGGCATATCGGTATCCTCCCTAGTTTCATACATGGAAATGCTATGCAGGTTTGAGGAAAGTTGTGGTTCTTATAGCCTTCCAGATTGAGCACATCAGTCTTTTTGCTGCAATCGCGTCCCTTCAGTACCGAGCTATTGTCAGCTGATTCGAGTGCAAAACTTTCATGTGACAGCACCACATTACAACCAGGACAGCGTGTGCTTTCACTGGTTGATCTCCATAAACGATCCGCAAATCACGGGTCACGTCTGCGCAGGTTGCATCTCAGGTTCGAGGATGGATAATCTTGATTAAATGACTGGCTTTGGCGCGTGGCTAGGAGGCGAAAGTTTCGGTGTTTCACAACTTGATGATTTGAGGAGGGTTTTCTGTGTGTGGGTTACCCTTGCGGGGTCTGTGATCACATACTTTCCGTCGCTCGTCTGTATATGCAGTACTAACCGCGAACCATCGGAGCACCCTCCTCATCGTACCGAAGAAATTAGTCCACTCACCCAGCAAAAAGCGGCTAAAACACACTTTTAGTCAAAGCACGAACTGCCTGCAAGGGTTCGGGGTTACCCAAAAACTCGCCACCGTTATTTCGCCATGGCACAGCAGTTTCCAGAAATACATTATCAGCCGCTCACTCACCTACTCTACCCGTAAATTATGGTTGCGCCAGGCGGAAATTCTACCCCACAGCATTCCGTGGAGGCTGTACTTGCCAGTCAATCCTCGAGGTTTGATTGGCTCCAGCATCCATCTCCCCTCCCCCGTCTTCTCCCCAAACCTGATGCTGGCAGCTTTGAGCTGCTCCTCCATTGACGTAACCACGTTTTCCAAGTTAGGGTTTCACCCATAATTGTCCAGGAACGTTGTTCCTCCTCACTCTCTCGTTCGCTCTGTCGCTCGCGCTGTTGTGGGAGCCCAAGGAGCCGCTCTGCAGGAGCAGAGACAGCTCGTGTAGAGGTTTATCTCGCCGTCACCGCCTTGCTGGAACCCTCGCTTGGTTGTTGAGGGAGCCCCCTGCCTGCACCAGTTGTAGAACCCCCTCATTTTCTTCGGAAGCTTTCGGCACCGTACATAGCGGAACCTAATTTGCCCTCGGCTGACTTCTTCACGCCACTGGCCTCGAACAATCGCCTGGTTGTTGAGAGCTCCACCTACTTATAAATGCGAAACCCTCTCCGCACTTCGAAATATTCACATAGTCCCTGTATCTACCTAGTCCGCTAACAGCTATCGGATGCGCCGCAGGAGGGTTCTGACTGATTCATCGTTCACGCTCTCCCTGTCATCCTGGATAGAATTCCTCATACCTTCGTTAGAGCGGCGTAAAATGACCATCCTTATTGTTGTTCGTACGACTCCCTAATTTGAGAACTGGTAAGTTCCCCAGTTTTGGAGAAGCCGATGATTTCCTGTCGTAGTGAAACGTCTTAACCAGAACGTTCGTAACTTTGCAGGTGGAATCTCGTCAGTCTGCTAGCCTTCATTTAATCGTTAACGTGGAGCTAATACCGTGAATATTATAGATTCTCTGGGACCTTACAAGCGTCAACGAGCGCTGTGTGAGGTCGCCGGCCCTTCACGATATTTAAGGAGGACATATCGTTCGTTTACTGTAGTCAACAGTTTCAGCAATTTTATTCAGTGACAATGGCTCTCGGCAACAGCAAGCACAGCGACGACCAAACTTCTCGCCTGCGTGCGTGCACGTCGGACCTGAAGGCCGCAGATCAGATCACTGCGGAGAGGAATACTTGCGACGCTCTCGGCCTCCTTCACCCGGATGGCCCTCGCTTCAAGGCCTGGAACGTGTACGTGTCCTTCATTTCGTATGTTTATTTCTGATCTCATTTATTGTGCTTATGTTGCAGCCTGAACTCTTGTATCGAGCCTACTTGGTCTCCCTGAACATCTCAGAATGAGTATTTGTAGGCCTCCCGAGTTATTACGGGCAGACCGATCTGGCTTCCTCTCTCATTCCTCGCATTGGCTTCTCCGCCGTGCTCTGCTGGGCATTTTTCATTTCGTCGTCACGTACTCGCTTTTCGCCTGAAGCTCTTATGACTTTCTTATCTCCACCGGATTCCTCCTGGTTGCCTTCTGGTTGGTACTCGTCTTGTACCTCTCTCTGCAGGCTCATTCACGCGCTTGTCATGTGGTCGTCGTTCTGGGTCACTCTGGAGTTCGCCTTCGTTCCGAACCCGTCTCAGGGGATTCTCTACTTCGATGGCGCCGTGTGTTTCGTCTTCTTCGCCAACATCGCCGTCACCTTCAAGGCGGCCTTCCGATGCCACAAGACCCTTCGCCTCGTCACGTCGAGGAACGCCATCGCTGCGCGGTATACTTCATTCACTTCGTCCTTCCCTTGCCCTCCTCGACCCTGTCTTTGTCATCGCCGACGCGCTGGTTACTCCTGTATTCAGTCGACTTCTTTCGAAACCATCGGAAAAAATAATAAAAAATCCTGTTAGCGTCTCCATCGGAATCGCAGAGTCCTTGAACACACGAAAAATCGCTCGTTGTGGCTGCAGGTACGCCCAAGGGGGTCTGCTTTTCGACCTCGTGTCGTCCATTCCGTTCAACCTTATTTATTTCTGGGTTAATGGCGTGCCCGCCTCCCGGAGCCGTCGGCTACGTCTTTCGTGGACTTCCTTGCCTGCGCCTTTACCGCATCATGCACTTCTACCGTGCTCTCTCTTCGGTGAGTATCCGCCGAGTAGGGAACTTGCACACAGCGCCTGTACTGCGAGCTTCATACAATACGAAATGGCTCTATTGTTGTGTGCTCGCAGCTGTTGCATTGCGATTTTTTTTGCTTGTTGTGCACACGCAGCTTCTGTGCTGTGGTCACGGTGCGTCTGCAAGCCATCCTGCACCTGCGTCTGAAGGCTTTTTGAGTTTTCGCAAGCCATTTATATTTACGGTGTATTCTTGCGCCTCTTTTCGTCTTTGGCGGTGCAAGGCTCGGGACGGCGAACCAGACGTTGTATTTCGGCATTCGCATGTTCAAGCTCGTGCTGGTGGGTGGGCATGGAAGTCGGAGTGCTTCTGTGTCTGTCACGTTTCGCTCCTTCTTGTACCCTTCCCGTGCTCTGCCATCTCCTGTCAGAACCTTTCCATTTTCACTCTTTCCGCTTTTTTTTGTTTTCGCTCTGTTTCGCTCTCTTTCCTTCCCGTATCTGATTGGCTCATTTTCGTCCTACTCTCCGCACTGGCGTGACTCGCAGAGCACGCAGAGCGTCGTCATTGCGTCTCGACTTCTTCTCTTTTACCCACTCTCCTGCTTGCACCACCTCTCTCCATGAACGTTCACTCACCCTGCGTGCCGTCCCCACGTGCAGAACATCGTGCTGGCGTCGCACCTCTTCGCCGTGGCCTACTTCTTCCTCACTCTCATGGAGCCCGACCCCGAAAACACCTGGATCGGCCAGGGGATCGGCCCGGACTGGCCTGAACAGGTAACGTGGATGCTTCTGTGCCAATTACCCGCTTTGCTGCTGGTTCTACCAAGCTTCTTGTTCTACGAGCCTTGCCCTTGTCTCTTCGCTCCCTGCTCCTGCAGTCCACAGGTTTGGGCGGCGCCTGGTGCTGATTGCAAGTTTGTAGCATCTTCTTTGCTCGAATAGCATTTGCGTTCTTTCTCCCTTGCTTTCATTCCGTGGCGGCCATGGGTACGGGCGCTTTTATGTGGACACTCAATTGTTTCTCCTTTCCCAACCCTGTTGGCTGAGCAGTTGGTGCTTCTGCAGTACGTGACGGCCGTGTGGTGGTCCATCTTCCGCTTTTACCCTTTCCTGTTGTTTTCTTGCCTCTCCTCCCCCTTCGCAGCTGAGCAGTCCGTGTTTCTGCAGTACGTGGCGGCCGCTTGGTGTTCCATCTTCTGAATGACCGAGCATTCTGTCTCCGCTCCATCACTCCCCCTCCCCCCCCATGCAAACTGAGCAGTCCGGTGTTTCTGCAGTACGTGGCGGCCATGTGGTGGTCCATCTTCGTCATCACCAGCATCGGACCCGCCTACACTTCTGTCACCACGGCCGAGCAGATCTTTCAGCTGTTTCTACGCGCTCTTCGGCATGGCAACTGTAGGATCCACACTCCTCTGCAATGCCCGCGATCCTTTCTGTCAGAATCTTCGCTGTTTGTCCTTTTGGCTTCCACGTAGATTCTCCGGGCCGACGTCCCCAGCCTGTGGCGCAAGTGTGGTCTGTAGTGTCCCCCGTCGCCTCTGTGTTTCCTGATGTAACATCGCCTGGTTTGACGAGCTAACGGCCCTCTGTCCGTGTGTCGCTGGTTTATGTCTGTCCGCTCGCGCCTCCCGCAGCTCGCGTACACGCTGGGCACACTGACGCTTCTCATGGTCAAGCAGTCCAGCAAGACCATGCAATACGTACGTCGCGCTCCTTCCCCTTGCCTTCATTCCTATTCGTTATCCTCCCCCTGTCGGCCTGTGCCATCCTATGACGCTCCGCTCGTTTCTCCTCTTCTGCGCGTTCTGCGTTCTCCTTAACGTTTTGCACGTCTTCTGTGGCCCGACCACTCACGTGACGACCCCCTTGTTTGCCTTTCCTTTGACCGCCGACTTACAGCACAAGGAGATCGTATCTCCCACGCCTAAATGGCCCTCAATTGTCGCCCTCTTCCCCCTTTTCCCCCACAACCCCCACCACTTGCAACACGAGGACGTGACAGCCCTCAAGGCCTACATCGCCCACACCAATCTCCCCTCACAAAACCCATTACGCATTTCTTGCCTCCCCCCCGCAACACACAGCACGAGGACATGGCGGCCCTTAGAGCCTACATTGCTCGCAACCAACCTCCCATCGGACCTGGAGCGCCAGCTGAAGCAGCAGCTGCGCGTGCAGCTGCAGATGCACAAGTCCGACACCTCCTCCTTCCTCTCCAGCATCCCCAACCACCTGCGAGTCACTGTCTCCCGCCAGCTCTATCTGCCGATTGTCGAAAATCTCGACGGCTTCCGCCTCTGCTCCAAGCCCTTCCTCAAACAGCTGGTGGGTTCGCGTTTTGGCCCTGTGGTCCATGTTGCTTGATTTCCAAGGCGCCTTATTTGTTTTATCTCTTGTCGCTACTGTAAGCCACTCGTTCCAGTCTCTTCAGCATTGGCATCCTCTTCTCCCTGCTCTTTCTTTTTCTCCTGTGCTGCTTGTTTCCTGTGATGTTTGCACCTGCACTGCTTGCATGGGCACTGCTCTTACACGGCCCCAGGTATCAGAGATGGACGTGGAGACGGTCATGCGGAACGACATTGTGACATCAGAGGGGGACGTGGCAACTCATCTCTACATCGTGCTCTCCGGCAAACTCGTGCGCGAGGACGGCCCCACTGCAGCCCTTCAGAACGGAGTGAGTTCGCCCATATGCATGCACCTTTTCAGATCTCACCCCACCCGTACTCGCCTGACAACTCCACTCGGTTTTTTACCCCGAAATTTGCATCCATTCCTCCTTCACAGCTGTTCTGTCTTCAATGTGTGTCTAACTCAAAGCTCAGCCACTCTTGGTGGGTTTTCTGAGATCTTTCAAGTCGTCTCTTTTTCTTCCTGAAGGGGTGATTGTGTTTTGGGATTGGTTCCCCACTTGGTTGTTAACCCGGTTGTTGCTCTGCTGCTGCTGTCTCGCCTTCCTTACAGGGTTCGTCCTTCCTGTCAGCCGGCTCGGTGTTTGGCAAGACAGCGGTGATGTGCAATGTGCCGCAGCTGTTCACAGTGCGAGCGCTGGAGCACAGCCAGCTTCTGCGCCTGTCCAAGTCCGCCTTCTCCGCCATTGCCAAGGCCTACCCCGCCGACTCTGCCGTTCTCTTTTCCGCTCTCAAGCAGGTAACTGGCTGGCCGTGCCCAGAATACCCAAGCTTGCGTTGGGTTAAATGCGCTTAGTTCAGGCTGCTTCAGATGGCCCTTAAACTAGTGCCGTTTCCATGCTATTCTGCGATTACTCGACGCCTTGCTCTGTTTTTTCCTCGCGTTTGCACTTAGGCTTCCTCTCCTGCTCCTCTCAACCTCATCCCGCTCCCCTCACCCTCCCCCCCTCAGAACATCGACGGCTCGACTTCTCTCACCCGCACGCCCTCAGAGCTCGCAGTCTCGCAGGGCCTGGCCCGCTCACAGCCCTCCTGGAGGGCGTTCGGCGCTACCCCAGAGGAGCCAGCTGAGGGCACGGGGGCTGGGGCGTTGCTGGAGTCTGTTACTGTGGACAAGGGGGATGCTGATCAGGTCGCACGGTATGTGAGGGATGGCAGGTTAGGGGGGAAGGGAGGGGGTGGGGTGGGGTGGGGGGGGGGGGGTTCAGATCTCAGGCGAGAGCAAGAGGGTTGCTGGTCAGGTGCTGCTGGAGTCCGTTGTTGCCTATAAGGGGGATGGCGACCAGGTCGCAAGGTGCGTGAGGGATGACAGGGTTAGGGGCTGGTTGTTCTTCAAGATGCCAGCTGCAGGCAAGGGGGCTGCTGGTCTGATGCTGCTGCTGTCTGTTGCGGTTGTCAAGGCGGATGCTGATCAGGTTGCAACGGGCACATCCTCCTTCTTGGGTGTGCGTGGCTGCTGCCTCTGGCCTTGTGGGTCAACTGCTTGAATGTTGACACGTTGCATCTCACACGCATTGCTGTGGTGTATGCTCATGCATCTTATTCTTATGCACTCTCTTTTGCAGGGTGTGTGCGGCTGCTGCCTCTGGCCGTGTGGATCAGTTGCTCGACCTGCTCTCAGACACACCCTCCCTCGCCCAGTGCCACGACTACAATGGCCGCACCCCCCTGGTACACACCCCCCTGGTGCATTCATCCCCAGCAGAACCTTCTGTTGTTTCCTCGTATTCGCCCTCCTGTTAAGGATTTGCAGCTAGAGTACTTTGCTTCCGGCATATTTGACTCGCTTCATTGCTTCTTCACATTAGCCCGGCTGCAAGGATTGCACAGCACCAGTACTTCGCTGCTTCCTCATATTCACCCTCACGTGCAGTCTACGATGTAGAGTCTGCCATCCCCTGATAACCGTTGCAACAATGCCCACCGCTCCTCCCTCTCTTGATTGTAGCATGTGGCAGCCGCCCATGGCCATGTCAACTGCATCAACGTCATTCTGCTGCGCAATGGCGTCGATGTGAACGCACTTGGTGAGTGCTCCGTTTTCCTTACCCGGTTTCCTGTTCCTCATGCGAAGTCATTGCTTCAGTGCCAGTTTCTGGTCGCCGATGGATTTATCACATTCTTCGCCTCTTGGTGCATCCATTCACCTGTCCTGCTCCTCGTCATGGCATGACCCATTTCCTGTACCTGGTGACAAACACAGCTCTAATCCTCTGTAGTCCCCCTTCCTCTGTCTGCTCCTCTCCCTCTCGTTACTTCAGATCGCGGGGGCTCCACGCCTCTCCTGGAGGCAGTGAAGAACGGCCACAGCAAGGCAGCGCAGGCACTGCAGGCAGCCGGCGCTGCTCTCCTCCTCAAAGACCCCGCTGCCACCCTCTGCCGCCTCGCTGCTGCTGCTGCTGGAGAAAACACCACCACCACCACGGCCACAACCCCCGCTGCCAGTGCCTGCGCTTCTGGCTCCCCACCCAAAGCCGCCAGCAAGAGCGGTGGCAGCAGTGTGGAGTATTTGGAGCGGCTGCTGGAAGCAGGAGCAGACGTGAATGCGCAGGACCATGCTGGCTGCACTGCACTGCATGTTGCCTGCGCCAACCGCAGCATCGCTGTTGCTAAGGTGAACGTCTTTCATCTCACCTTTCAAGTTTATCAAGCCACACATGCTCCTCACATGCTGCTCACACGCTTCTCACATGCTACTCACATGCTTCTCACATCCTGCTCACATGCTTCTCACATGCTGCTCACATGCTTCTCACGTGCTTTTGTTGACCTTGGGGTTCATACTTCACATTTCTGAACTTCCTTCGTGTAGCGCAATGTGCACCTTTCAACCCACTGACCCGCTGTCTTATTCTCACCCTCTTCCCTTCCACCATTGTTCAACCCTCGCTGTTTCCAAAGCTGCTCATGGCACACGGTGCTGACCCCCACTTGGAGGACATGAGTGGCAACACTGCTTATGACCTAGCCAAAGCTGCAGGTTCCCGGGACTTGTTGAATGAGCTTGAAAGTCAGCCACCCACCCCCACTCAAGCTGCCTTTGGTGGCCGCTGTGTGAGTGTGTGTGCACCAAAGGCAAGCCTTTTTGAGGGGCTGCGGGGCTAGGCGGAGTTCGGTAAACATTTAGCAATCCACTTGCCTATATTTTACCAGTGTTACATGAGACACGACTTAGTTTGCCTGATAACGGTTTGATCTTTCCACCATTTTGAATGCTGGTTGATTATTTTCTGCAAAATGCTGATTCTGGTTTTTCAAATTGACTAAGCCTACATCTGTCCAGGGTAGAATGAGGGATAATCTTAGGGTTGAAAATATGGCTCAGGTTAAGCTCGGTGAAAATATGTTTTTTCAATTGAGTGGTTACTGAGTACAGTTCTACGCACGGCACAGCACCGGAACGGAATGTCACATTGCTTGCGTGACGACAAACGCGGTTACTAGTTTTCCCGTTTGTTATGATTTAGAAGATGTCAATGTACTATAATGAGAATACAACGTCACTATTGCCATGAAAGCACAAGGTTATATAGGAGTGGACGTAATAGGGCGATAACCTCGGGACGTGAGTAGCTTCGGCAATGTGGCGACGCTGTCGGGCGCGACTCGAGAAAGGGTTGGGCCGAAAATGTAGGCCGAACGTGACGAGTCGAAGTGTTCGGGTGTACGCGGTAGCGGCCGACTCAGTAAGGAATGGAAATTCCTTACACTACCCCCCCCTCCTAAATAAGACCGTGGGCATCGGAGACATTCCGACGCTGGTAATATGCCGTTAGAATCGGATGTGATTCTAGATCAGCGAGGGGCACCCAGCTGTCGTCTTCAGATGTGCGATCGCGCCAGCGTACTAGGAAATCAACCATCCGACGGTTCAGCTGCGTGGTGATGCGATGGCCGAGAATTTTCAAGGGCTCAGTTGTCGGTTCCTGCAAAGGCGTTAGTTGCGGTACACCACGGTTGCGTGCCAAGTCCGACGAACTCGGGACGTAGGGTCGGAGAAGACTGACGTGGAAAGCCGGATAATGGCGCCAATCAGCCGGGAGCCGAAGGTGGACAATGACAGGTGTCACGAGGTTGGTCACTTGAAAAGGGCCGCAGAATCTGGGTCGGAGTTTGCTTGGAATCGGCAGCCGCAAATTGCGAGTGTCGAGGAGGACAAGATCTCCCACTTTGTAAGTGACGTCGCGGCGATGTCGATCGGCTTGTCGGCTTGCGACCAGGTTAGCTTTCGGAATGGCCTCAGCTGATTTGTCGCGAATGGCGAGGATGTCTTCAGCAAATTTCTGGGACCGGGGTACTAGTGACTCAATGTTCGGTGTAGAGGGTACGACCGGGTCCTGTCCGTAGTTGAGGAAGAATGGTGATTGATTGGTTGTCGCTAAGGTCGCGTTATTATACGCGAATTCTAGTAGCGGTAGAGATTTCTCCCATGTCGAGGGGTCAGTACAGGTGGTGCGAATGAGCTGCTCCATGGTTTGGTTAACGCGTTCGGTCTGCCCGTCGGTTTGTGGGTGGTAGGCGGATGAAAATTGGAGTTTGGTGCCGAATTGGTCCCACAGGTGGCGCCAAAAATTCGATGTGAATTTTGGGTCTTGGTCCGAAATGATGGCGGAGGGCAGTCCGTGCAGGCGGATGATGTTCGCGATGAACAGCTGCGCAGTTTGTTCGGCGGTGATTGTCTGTTGGCAGACGATGAAGTGTGCCATTTTCGTGAGTCAGTCAACGACCACGAGGATGGCGTCGTTTCCGCTGGGACCGGTCGGCAGTCCTGTCACGTAGTCCATCGTATCGTGTTGCCAGGGTCGCTCGGGCGGATCCAACGGCTGTAGTAGTCCGGCTGCTCGCTGATGCGACGATTTCATAATCTGGCAGGCGGTGCAGGAGGACACGTACTTGCGCACGTCATCTGCCATGTTCGGCCAGTAATAATTCCGCTGCAGCATCTTCGTGGTTTTATCGACGCCGAAATGTCCTGAGGTAGGGTTGTCATGGGATTCCTGGATGAGCAGGGTGCGGAGTAAATCGTAGCCGGGTACCCAGATGCGAGAGGTACCGCGTTTATGAAAGTACGGGCCAGTAGCGGTGGTATGCTGTTGATGGATGGCGGAGCGGAAAAAAGGGATCGATCTTGTATCCGTGGGTGAATAGTTATGTAAGTAATGGGTTTGACTGGGCGACTAGTATCGCGGCGGTATGGACAGTAGGGCGGGTCAAGGCATCGACGATATTATTGGCCCCCCATTTGTAGGTGATGGTGTAATGGAAATTTGACTCGAGGAAATCTAGCCATCGGATCTGTCGTGGGTTGAGGTTCGGTTGGGCGCGCAGGTACTGTAAGGATTTGTGGTCCATCCGCACCGTGACGTCAGCTCCGGTCAGGTAGCACCGCCAGGTTTTGAACGCGTGGACGATTGCCAGCATTTCCTTGTCGTGCACTGTATAGTTCTTCTCCGCGCCTTGCAGCTTCCGTGATTCGTATGCGACTGGTTGTAACCCGTCGTCGAAATCCGGTAGGAGAACTGCACCGATGGCGATGTCGCTGGCGTCGGTGACGACTTCGTATGGACGGTTGGGATCGGAGATGCGAAGGACGGGCGGCGATGTGAGGGCGATTTTGAGTTGATCGAATGCAGCTTGCTGCTTCTCACCCCACCAAAAACAATCGTGATCCTTTAATCGGTCGGTTAGCGGTGCAGATAATCCAGCCATATTGGGGATAAAGCAGCGGACGTAGTTGACAAAACCCAGAAAACTTTGGAGTTCCTTGAGGTTGGTCGGCGGCTTCCATTCCTGTATGGTCTTGATTTTCCTGGGGTCGATTTTCACGCCTTCGGTGGAGACGACGTGGCCCCAAAAACTCCAACTCCTGCTTAAGAAAGTCGCACTTAGACCCTTTCGTGATGAGGCGATTCTTGTGCAGCAGCGTGAAGACTGCATCAAGATCCTTTAAGTGCTGCTCCCTGCTACGGCTGTAGATTAGGATGTCGTCGAGGTAGATAATTACGCATTTATCCAGGAGTTCGCGAAAAGCACCGTTCATGGTCATCTGGAAGGTCGAGGGCGCGTTCGTGAGTCCAAAAGGCATCACCAGGTACTCGTAACTACCGTAGCGGGTTCGGAAGGCGGTCTTGTGGCAATCCTCGCGGCGACGCGAATTTGGTGGTAACCTCATCGCAGATCGATTTTCGAGAAGAACTGGGCTCCGCGAAGTTGGTCGAGTAGGTCGTCGGCTCGCGTGATCGGGTAACGGGACTTGATAGTGATGCGGTTGAGTGCGCGGTAGTCGATGCACATACGGAATCCGCCATCTTTTTTCGGTGTGAACATTATGGGGGCGGCGTAGATGTGCTTGGGCGGATAAAACCTTTCGTCAGGAGGTAATCCAACTGCTGCTGCAATTCCTCGAGTTCCGGTGGCTGAGCCGAAATTGTCGCTGTACCGTCGGTTGTGCCCCTGGTTCCAGCTCGATGCGATGGTCTTCGGGTCGGCTTGGCGAAAGTCCGGCGGGTAGGTCGTCCGGGAAAATCTCGGGGTATTTTCGAATGAGTTTGTGCTAAATCCGGAAAGGAACGGCTTCACACAGCTTCGTGATATCTTCCGCTGTTATCGGCGACGTCACTTTCGCGAAAATCGATGGCGTATGCTGCTGCTCCCGCTTTTATCGCGCGCTTGAAGGTGATCGCGTGGAACTTGGGTACTTCGCATGCGGGGTCCCCTCCATTTCCGGTAACTCGTGATAGTGCCCATCGATCTTGATGCCTGCAGCTGCCCGTCGTCCAGTCGATTCTCGGGTTGTACTGTCGCAGCCAATCTCGTACCCCCAGCAGCACGTCGCCCCCGTCGAGTGTAGTCGCCAGCAGTCCCATCCGAAATTTACGTGCTCGCCGCAGTGGAAAATGACGTGCTCCACCCGCTCCCGTATAGCTAGCGGTGTTCCATCCACCAGTCTTGCGTCAATTTCGGAATAGACACTTTAATAAGGGGATACCCATTTTCTTAGGCCCTGTCGAGCTGTATGAGACTTGTGACTCGCGCCTCCATCCACGAATATTTTCCAGCAACACCCCGTTGACCTTTACCCTCCACCAACACAGGGGGATCAGCAGTTTCGTCCCCCTTATTCGTCCGGGTCCGGGTCGATTGCAGCAATCGGGATCACGACCCGGTGGGGACTGTGTGGTTCGGGCGAAGAAGCCTGCCCGTCAGTAAGGGGCCCGGTACTTACTGACGCGACCCATTTCCCGGTCGCTCCTCCGGCTTCTTCCCCATAGAATTCTGGGATGGCGATGAACTCTTGGCAGTTGCGTTTGATGTGACCCGGTCGGCCACAGTGGTAGCATTAGCCCCATATTTCGCGGAGCAACTGCCGTAAATATCCACTGCGTCCATCCCTTTTATCGTGGCGCACTGTTACTGTTCTCTGGAGGGCGACCTCCGTCGTAGAAGTTCGTCCTCGGCTTCGTAGGCGAGTCAGCGGCTTCGGCGAGTTGGATGAAGTCTTGTAACCGCTTCGCTCGTCGTTGTAGTTTTATTTGGTACTGTATTTCAGGCTTCAGCCCGCCCATGTACCTGTCGACCTTCTCCAACTCGTGCATGTAGCCACATCGATCCACCCAACGTCAGGAATTGACGCGGTGTAGTCGGACACAGATCCCAGCTGCTTCCACATGCGTAAAGTCTCGCGCGCTTTGTCTGAGTCAGGAGCATGCTCGAACCGCTTGCGAAGCTCTGCGCACCACGTTGCCACGTGCGAATGTGAGTTGCACCAAACAGCAAATCTGCTTCGTCTTCGTCGCCGAATTCTTCGGACCACTCATGCTGTCCCTTCTGTGCGAGTTGCCGCTGAGTCGACGATGACCTTCCACCACTGTAGGGGCGGGCCCCTCTGCAGCCAGTGTCAACGCGTGGCTGATCCGCTTCCTGGTCGTCTCGGATGCCCGCCGCGTTAAAATAAATATTCATGGCGAATATCCACTGCCGCACCGTCACGCCTTTATTAGCTGGGTCGAAAGGAGCGGGTTTGCTGATATCTCGCGCCGCCACTTGTCGAGCGCGGGGCTGTCGCCGCTAGCCGTGCCAGCTCCACTGGTGTCGGCTGCTGCTTCACCCGCCTCGCTTCGTGCATCGTCGCCCGGCTCCTCTGAACGCCTTTCCTGCGCCTGGCGAAGTCGTTGGTTTTCGTCACGGAGGTTGTTGACGACGCTTGTCAAATTATTCAACTGCTCCATTAATGCTTGCAGGTCTACTGTTTCCCGGGCAGAGTTCGCAGCAGTCGAGGTTGTCTGTTCCTCAACCGTCGAGTCTACCGGGGCCATGGCGGTCAGGACGGGCAGAAACTGCGCACACGCTGTAGTTGTTGACGTAAAAATATTTACGATCAAAGGCAACTTCTGTGCAGCCGTGTTAATCCCCTCTGACTACCCTTAACTAACTAACGGGGAAAAACGGAAGGTTCCGAGAAAGGTGGGGCTCTGATACCAGCTGTTATGATTTAGAGGATGTCAATGTACTATAATGAGAATACAACGTCACTATTGCCATGAAAGCACAAGGTTATATAGGAGTGGACGTAATAGGGCGATAACCTCGGACGTGAGTAGGTTCGGCCAATGTGGCGACGCTGTCCGGGCGCGACTCGAGAAAGGGTTGGGCCGAAAATGTAGGCCCGAACGTGACGAGTCGAAGTGTTCGGGTGTACGCGGTAGCGGAATCTGGTTACGCTTTGGAGCGAACCCCGCGAAACTGGCGAAGAAGAGGCGGTCTTCAATCCCTCGGCATCATCTGTGCGAGCTTGTCATCCCTCTCTGTAAGCACACTGGGTGCCACACATGCTGGGTTGGATTTGGTTGATGCCAAGCAGACTTGGATGCCAAGTTGATGACGTCTTCAAGTCTCGGACAAGGGACCCTTGATTTCGGTTTCGTTTCGGAGTCACCAACTCAGCAGGATCCGTTCCCATCGCGAATAATTTCTGTCCGTCCATTCCATCGCCTACGGATTAGATGGTTGTTGTGGTCGCGCTCGTGGGGCACGTGGGGAAATTTGGTTGTTCGTAAACATCGTCCGTGCGTGCACTCTGCGGTACTCTGCACTCCGCAAGCCGCTTCCCCGATGGTTCGTCGCTCGGAACCAAATCAGATCATACCGACTAAGTATCCATCATGGACGTCACATGACGTCATTCTTACATCTCGCCTTTATTATTCAGCCCATAGTCCCTGCTGGGGGGTTCAACAAAAGTTGACTCGGAGGTTCCTTCACATTCTTTTTTACCACAAGCCGCATTCCAGTGAAGCACACTTGAAAGTTCGAGCGAAGAGTGCTACTGTGCCTACTAAAGTGTGCATCAGTCGCCGTTCCTTCAAAAGTTTGCGGAGGCCCGATCAAAGCAGATGCCATGGCCCATGGCCCATGGAAAAAAGGGGTCCGGCCTAAGTCTCAAAGTTGCGGGATCATTGCGGCGAAATTCTCTCCCGCTCGCTTGCTCCTCGGGTTCCGAAAGGGAAAGAGAGACATCTACCCGGAGGGTGTCCAGATGCACTGCACCATCCCGTCACGTGACGCCGCCAAATGCCCGGGCTGGTGTCACTGGCAGGGAGTGCCACTAGTATGGTTTCAACTTGAAACGCTGCTTCAAGCAAGCAGGGTTGTCATGTGTCTGGCCAATGTCCGCAGTAGTACTGGTACAGTTCTGGAGCATCCCAAAATTTGGGAGCAGAAAATACAGAGTGGTACACATTTGGTACAGAGTAGGTACGTCAGCCACTGAAGAGCCTTGTGATACGACCAACTATAGGCCATATTTTTGGGTAGTAGCACGTGCCACTACCGACTGAAGCAGCTCAAGTTGAAATTCAAGCTGGCACTGTAGCAAGCCTTCCAGAGGTTTGGTCGGACTCATCTGTTGGTCACCTGGGCTGCTGGGCTGACTGGCAACCCTGTAAGGTGCTTGAACGACTGTTCATGGCTTCAAGTTCAAGTTGTGGGTCAGTTTTGGGCTCTCACTTTTCACGTCAAGTTGTCGATGTGCATGCATGGAGAAAGGTTTTCGGCCATGCCAAGCAGCGCGTGCCAGACGCATCAAGCAGGAAGGTGTAAAAGCTCTCTTCAAGGCCTCAGTGAACAGCCATATGTCGTCGTTCCAAACTCCAATTTCTGAGCCCCATGCTTGTACAGCTATTGCTACTGCTAATACTACTAGTAGTAGTAGGCTGCTACCCATACTGAGAAGGCTACTCAGCCCCTCACCCTCCTCTGGCACTCACCCTCTCACCCTCCTCAGCCGCTCGCTCCTCCGCTAAGCTCCCATTGTGGCACATGCTGCTGATAGCTACAGGTGAAAGATAGAGCCCCTGAGCAAACTTCCCACCCGTGAGGTGATGTTGATCTAGAACTCAAAGACAACTCTGAGGACACGAAGAGTAGAATCCCTAGCCCCCGGGGGCGTCAAGCCACTCCAGGAATTTGTGTGTCAAGTCTATGCGGAGGTGATTGCGACGATTTTCGAAGCCCCGCCTCAAGAATCGACTCGCGTGGATTACGAGAATGGTGGCGAAATCCCCACACGTGGGCCATCTCTGGACTGCGGGGGTAAGGGCGCCTGTTGCGCTGTCCCCTTGCGTATTTCTCCCTTGCTTTATTTCTTCCCTTCCAAAAGTCCCGTCGTGCTTCTTTCCCCCCTTGCTTCTATCTCCCCTTCCTGTTTTTTCCCATTTGGTCCCTTTCCCCTGCTCTCTCCTTGGCTTCTTCTTTCTCGGGTTCTTGCTGCTGCATGTGGCGCACGGCATAAGCCCCCCCCTCCTCAACTTCATGCTGCGTGATCCCAATATTCCCCTAATCTCTGCATTCTTCCCCACCCCCCTTTGATCTCAGGACGACCGAATCTTGCTGCTTCATGAAGCGGCACCCGGCACCACCTGGCACCACCAGGCAGTGGCTTTGTTCCCTTCCTCTCTGATTTCGTCTCTTCTTGCTCTACCCTGTACCCATCTCAGGAGGGCAGTACCTTGCTAATGCACGTGGCGGCACATGGGGCTTTGTTCCCCCTTCTCTCTGATTCCTTCTCTTCTTCTTCCACTCCTCACCCATCCCTTGCGGCGCATGGCATGCGGCAGTGGCGGCCCATTGCTATGGCCCTGAGTCTTCCTTTCGTGTTCCCATTCAACCCCTCTTGTCAACTCCCTGTCAACGCTCTGTCGACGCCCGCCCTGTCAACGCTCTGTCGACGCCCGCCCTGTCAACGCCCTGTCAACGCCCGGACAACGCCCTCAGGAGAACCGCACCCTTCAGCTGCACATGGCGGCGCATTTAGGCTTTCCTCAAGCAAACTTCCCACATGCTCATTCTGCCGTTCCCATGCCAGGAGGACCGGAATCTGCTGCTGCTTGCGGCTCAAGAGCTCGAGCTTCCGTCTCTCCCCAGAATCTGCTGCTGCTCGCAGCTCAAGATGATGTGCTTCCGTCTTTCCCCTCGTAATTCCCCTTCCAGGAGGATCGCACCCTACTGCCCCACGTGGTAACGCACGGCACGCAGCAGCGGCTGTGTTCCCTCTCTCAACTCCATGCTGTGTGATCCCAATGCTCTGAATACCCCTTTCAGGAAGATCGCACTTTGCTGCTCCATGTGGCAACGCACGGCACGAGGCAGTGGCGGGCCATTGCCAGGGGGGGGCTGCTGCCAGGGCGAGACAGCAAGGCATGCTGCAACCGATTCATC